TAGCACCTAAAATTATTAAAGAAAGGCTGGGTGGTGTGTACGGACAAAGTTCTCCTTCGAATTCCGTAGTGAAAGCATGGGTACAACGTTTTCGAATGGGGCAGGAGTCTCTTGAAGATGATTCAAGAATTGGTCGACCAGTGGAGGTCATAAGGATATTGTTGCGATTGTGGATGAGGTGGTATTGAGTGATCGACGTTTAAAGGTCAAGGAAATCTTAGAAATTTCTAAGCTTTCTGATACAACTGTTTGTCGAATCCTGCATGATGCAAGATGGGTTCCTAAAAACCTTTCGGCTATTCAAAAACAACGCCGTGTCGAGTGTGCGCGGTCTTTTCTGGAACTCTGTGGGTCGGAACCGAAGCCTGTGATAGAAACTATTGCGACTGGAGATGAAACTATGCTTCTCTATTATGACCCTCTATCGAAAAAAGAATCAATGGAGTGGCGTCGCAAGGGTGAAGCATCTCCAAGAAAATTCAGAGTCTGCCAAAAATTGATATATTTTAATTCTTTTGATATATTTTAAAGAAACTAATACCACTGTCAATGGTAAATATTACGCAACATTATTACATAAATTGCGAGACTGTATACGTGTAAAACGTCGAGGAAAACTGACCAGAGGCGTGCGTCTTTTGTACGATAATGCACCTGTCCCTACTGCTGGTGTTACACAAGCTGCCATTTTAGAGTATGGGTTCCAACAGATAGATTATCCTCCCTATAGTCCAGATATGGCCCCCAGCTACTATTATTTGTTTGGATATTTGAAAAAGGACTTACGTGGACGGCGGTTTAACGACGAAGTTGAGTTAAAAGAGGCTGTTTTAGCTCATTTTGCAGGCAAACCAAAAGAATATATTTTTAAAGGGATCGAGTTATTAATAAAGAGATGTAATAAGTGTATTGAAGTTAAGGGGGATATATTGAAAAATAATAAAAATTGTTACTCTACTTTGTTTCTTTCATATTCAGGCCGGGAAATTTTGGCGCTGGCGTCGTATATATCGGGATTTGTGGATGGCTCATCAAATCAACGTTTTTAATGCTCAATTCGTCTTCTTTCTAATTTCTTCGAAGACTTTCGGCAAACAAATGGTCGTGTACCATTCAGAATTGACTGTTTTACCTTTCACCAAAGAAACCGTTGCAACGTGGCCAGTTTTCCTGAAGAAACAGGCTACCATTTGTTTCGAGATGCTTCGCGGAAAAAATGAAAAAAAAATTGTACATGAACATTAAACCAGTCAAACTTGAGACTATATCGAAAGTAGAAATGTGGGATATTGCAATAACCAAGGCCATTATGGAATGGTAACAAGGGTTTCATAGATATCATAGGATATCATAGACGGAGGCACAGCGATTGTATTTTTTTAGCATTTCCTTCGACCAATCACGGGCCTTTTTTTGAGCTGATGTCAAATTTTTTTAGAAGCGCATTTTGGTGCTTAATTTAAAACCAAAAAAATCGCAAGAAGAACTCTATATATGGCCTTGAAGACATTTATTTTTGTTTTTGTTTATATTTCTTTAATAACTTGCGAGGTTCTGATTCATTACAAAGTACAGTTTTTTTTCTACTCCGTTATATTGCCCTTTTTCATGTTTTCTGTGACCTCCTATCTCTACTTCTAAATAATTGAAACTTACGTACATTTCTTTGTATTCATTTCCTATCACCATCACTGTTGTTTGAGTTTTATTTCGTTTCATTTCAATACCTGCCATAACATTGTTCCAGATCGTCGTGCTAATTTTTCTCTTTTCCGACTGTTACTACTAGACTACTAGACAAACGCTCTTTCGGGTACTTTTACATTTCTCAGGTATCTATAGCCCACATCATATTTTCTTACAGTTGCCGTACTGTTCTTTATTATCATCAATGTAGGCTGTGAAGAGCAAAAGCGACTAACGTTTTTATAGGGAACTTTGACATTTTGAAGTTAGGCTTGCTCAGTTAGGTTTTGGAGAAAGAGTGTTGTTTGCGTTTTTTGTCATAAATTTAAAAAAATGTGATGGATAAAAATAGAACTTAATCGTCCAAAATCGGTGGTTGTCCAAGAAAACATTGATGCAGTGCGGAAACTGATTTTGCAGGATCGTCATGTGACTTACCATGAGATTGAGGTACCTTTGGGCATCAGTGAGTGGACATGCAATGCTAAATTCTAAATGCTAAAAGAATACGATCACGATGCTTCCAAACACGTCTATGATATCGTGACAGTTGATGAATCATGGATCCATGCATATCAACCAATTCTTGCACCGATCAGTGCAATCAAAGAACTTTTTGAGCATTAAAAATGTTGATTTGATGAGCCGTCCACCATATAGTCCTGATTTAGCACCTAATGACTTCTTTTTATTCCCTTACAGAAGAAGCGATTTGATGCGTTTAAAAAGCATGTTTTGGAGGCAAAAGTATATTGATCATCAGGGTGAATATTTTGAGAAACAATAAAGCCATATTTGTTTTTTTTAATACAAATCCTGAAATATAAAAGGTAACCCTCGTATTGGTGACAATTACTGCAACAACAACAAAACTGCAACCTCAAATCTACGTCAACCGCGACTTATCGCTGAGATCTGTTCGACTCGTTAAGCGCGTGAAACGAGGGTACTTCTAAAAAAATTATCGGCGAAAATAATCTACGATACGCGAAGTACTTTAGGAAAGACGGCCGCCGTAATAAACCCAGACACAATAATAAAAGTAACTTTCGATTTTTTTATGCGAAGGGAAAGTGAAACTGGCCCCGAGAAAAATGAAAGTTACACACACGCGTGCGTGATCCAAATTCTCACGAAAATGTTTCAAAAATGCGGGCCTTGTTCTATGGGACGCGGAAATAATTCAATAACTTCGAAATGGCATATTGCGATTGAGTAATGTTAGGCACACCTGACAAAGTAGTCGAGTACTTTGCTTTTCATCTAATTGAAAATTAGTAATTCATTTATAAATGTCAAATTTTGACAGATGGTGTTTTTTCTTTAGGAATTATTTTATTTTTGAAAAAAGTCTAGTTATGATAAAAATCTAATGTAATGATTTATATGTAATATAAAATAAACTATATACGAGGTGCGTTCAAAAATTAATATGACTTTTAAGTTTTATAAAATATTATTTATTTCTGTATCAAATTTCAAAGTAACCTCCCCCAGGTGCAATATGTTTGTGCCAACGTTTCTTCCAATTCTTGAAGCATTTCTAGTAAGCGCTTCCTGAGCAGAGGCCCATATTGAGTCAACCCAACCCTTTTCCGGGGTATCACAAGTGTCGAGCCAGGTTCCATCCAAATAAATAATTGGCCTTTGTTGTTCTCTGTAAATCCTAATTTTTTCTAGATATTCCAGTCGCCATTTACGAATTCTAAAAGATTTCGTTAAAACTGAATTTTGTCAATTTTTTTAAATCTAAAACCCATGTGTTGAATACAATTCCATAAGGTAGTTCGGCCACATTTAACACCGGTTTCATCTTTTTCATGCCTCCTAATTAAGATATCTAATGTAGGCACGCTTTGTTCCTCGTTTAACTCGTAAATTTTACGCCGTATTATATCTTGAAATGGGATTATTCACAATTTTCCATACAATTGATGTTGGAATTTTCGTCAGTGTGGCAGTTTCTTCTAAAGATGCTTGCTTGCCGGCACCACGTTCAATGAGAGTCAAATAAACATTGTTTATAACTTCCTTAGTCTCAATAGAATAGCGTTTTCTACATTTGTTGCTTAACGATCAATTATTAACCTTAAATTCTCACAACAACATTAATTAAGGTTTTATTGTCATTTTTCGGTATATATAGCAGCAGGAAGTTGTAAGTATTTCATTTGATAAAAACACGGTGTTTGCGAAACAATTGTCATGTGAAAATTTCGTAAAAATCTGAAGTTTTAGTTCTTATTTATTTTGTATTGTTAAAGAATTGTTAAAGAATTTTTCACTTAAGGGTGTCTTGTCATTTTTAGTGTTTTTGTTCTACTTTAATTTGTAAATAATTATTGTTGTTGCAGTCAGTCAGGGCAATCTTTGAATTATATACAAATTTCCTATTTTTGCTCACTTGTCAAAAACGAGTGAACTAAAATATAAATATAATAATATATTATACACATATATAGAGGGTGTTCCATTTAAAAAAATATGATGTAGACTGATGTCAGAAAACCGATAGTGTTTTGTTTTATACGTCATTTAAAAAAAAAACTTCGCTATCAATCCTCCATTTTGTATTTTTGTTTACCTTGATATCTCTAAAAACAAAAAAACAGCCTATGAAAAAATTTTATCAAGATAAATTGAACTCACGGTACAAAACAGACAGAAAATGTAAAAAAATGCATTTAACAACAATCCGGCGTGTATAAAATAAAAACGAGTTTTCTGTGTTTCGAAATAAACTGAATAAGACCCGACACTAAAACGCACGATCTCCCTTAGAAAAGGATGCGAGAAACTAAATTCAGCGCACCAAAAAAACGAAACACCGCAACCGCATCGAGTGGTTGTTTTGCCGGACGCCCTGTATAATGGAATAGACGAGCTCGAAAAGAAAAAAAGCGGACCCGATGTTTATTCCCCATCGGCCAAATATTTACGCGGTATAATTATAGAGCGAACTACTAGTCACTTCGTTCCAAAAACACACACTCGCTGCCGCTGCATCGACCTAATTTTCGATTTTTAAATATTCCACCAATACGCACGCCCATGCCCGTTTCCGCTCCATATTCGCTGCATTAAAATGGCGTTTTGCTTTGATTTTTTTAGACGTGCGAAAAGAATTTGTGTTTTTCAAAGAAATTTTTACAAAACTTCTGGATTCGTCCTACGTCGGTTTTTGCTGAGTCGAACCTCTTGGCTTCTTCAGAGCTTGACTAAAACTGGCTCGCATTTTACTCTGTATCTGCTTATACAGGGTGTTAAAAAAGTAGGCTGCCAAACTTCAAGAAACGATGCGTGATTATATGTTACACCTCTTCTATGAAATCAATATACGTAGTCCCCCTTCTAGTCGCTAGGTGGCACCACAGCTTTAAAGCAGAGCCAAAAAACTGTGGAATAACTTACCATGGACGGTATATTCGCCATCTATGGTCTTAACCTCATTCCTCTTTTTGTGCTTTGGTGGCACATGTTCATTTTTATTCGGCGTCGGTGTTTTCAGCTTTTTTCAGCGTTTTTGGAAGTTAAATGGAGAAGTACAAGTGAGATTTACGTTATTCCTTATCGGATGAAGAAAGAACCTACCTACGACGAAAGATTAAATCTTTCCATCCGCGATTACATAATCGCTAGTGGCGTGGTTCCCATCAACGAGATTTTCTTACAATTGGGAGACGATTTCTTCATCGTCCGGGTTCCGATCGGAATCCCCAGAACTCGAAAGACCCCCCATCTTTCCCACTTATACGACAGCAGTCGTATGTAAGTGTTTCGCAATTGGAAGCAATCCTTTTGTGAGGGGGTCGGCCATACATATGGTTTTATATTTTTTCGACATCGAAAAAATAGAGTTTTCTGGCTCGTCCGGCTATGGATGAGGCGCCCGGGATACTGGGACATAATGAACAATTTTTTATGGCTGTTGGAATGCATTTACTCCATCGTAAGTATATTTTTTAGGCCCTTCAATTAATTCTGATGTCATTGTTGAGCCCCTTGAGACGGATTTAAAGCAAAATGGCCTTTAAGCTATGGGGTCGATAGTCCCAACACAAAGTTTGATGTGTCATGACATTTTGGCAAGTCAGATTAATACCTTTTTGAAATCCGGTGTGTCCGAAGATTGTCTCAGTAACCTTTTGCGTTGATATCCTGTGCCGAAGAATTGCCCGCTCAATAACTCTCCTAAATTGAATGTGCAGATGAAATCTGCGATCAACAAAGGTGGAAAGAAAAGGGATGAGAGACTGACTGCAACAAGGGGTGCTTTGATGGTGGTTGGTAGGACGCTCTTGACCTTGCTTTTGAAACCGGTTAAGGATGAGTAGTACTTACTTCTCATCGAAATGTTGAGTAATGCAATATTTGTTTTAAGCAAAATACACCATTTAGGTTCAGTATATAGAAGTTCAGCCGCGTTAAGCCTTTCGCTGGTCTCAAATGAAATGCAGCCTTGTATGAAGGAAGTGCTCGTTGATGCTTCTTTGCACTCTTGTTTATATGGAGAAGATTTGGCTGATAGGCTCAAATCAATCAGATTAGCTGCAGATTAGTGGCCGAGTTAAAGTCAGGTGCATCCGGAACAAGGCTTTTATAGCATACAAATTTAAACTCGACCGTCCCACTTCGTTCCCGGAAGTTGCAAGGCTGAAGTGGGTGAAAGTCATTGTACCCTCAAAAGAGGGAATACAGGAAGGTTCGAGAGGAAAGGGGGTGGAGTTGTGTCCCCAGGAAAAAATAGTAAGTACTTTTGTTGAAAGATTGCACTAGTTTCGGGACATTTGGAACTCTAGAACTCAAGATGCACAGATTCTACCTTGGTTAGATGGATATAAAATTCCATTTGCGAGGCCAGTTATACAGGACTTGATTACGACAGATCCTGTTTGGTCCCAACAAGAAAAAGATTCAATTTGTAATGTGGTCAAACACCTGTTAGAGATAGGTGCAATTGCAGTTTGCGAACCTTGAAAGAATCAATTTATTTTACAGATCTTTTTGGTTTCAAAATTGGATGGTTCGGTTTGATTAGTTTTAAATTTAAAGAAACTGAATGCTTTTATTGACACTTGTCATTTTAAACTGGAAGACAGAAAATTAGTAGAAACACTCTTCACAAGGAAGTCCTTTATGACCACTCTGGACTTGAAAGAAGCTTACTTTCTAGTCCCAATAATTGAAAATCTAAAGAATTTTCTAAGATTTTATTTTGATGCTCTCTGTTATCAGTTTAACGTGTTACCCTTTGGTTTATGCACCGCCTCGTAGGCCTTTACAGAATTAATGAAATCTGTGGTTTCTTATCTCCCTGCCAAGGCTTTTCCCTCAATAGTTTATTTAGATAACTTTACTATTTGGTGATAGTTAGCTATCCTTAAAAAATGTTCAAGTAACTTGCAACACGCTGATTAGGTTGGGTTATGTTATTAATTATAAGAATGTTTTACATCCTTCGAAATCCAGTAAATTTTTAGGTTTTGTTTTTTTGAATCCCACCACTTGTTTTTCTGATGAGTAAGTAAGTTTTGCAATTTGAACCGTTGCGAAATAAGAGTCTTTGCCGAGCTTTGTGCTGTGCTAGTTTTCAGTTTGCCCAGCAGTTTGTTACAGTTGGGTATATACTAAGAATTTTTGAGAGAATCAAGACTCTAATTATGATATTTGGATGATAATTCCTTGTAATTTACGGAGGGATTTTATGTGATGGCTAAAAAGTTTACAGAATCCTGAATGCCCTGTAAGGCAGCAATGTTACAAACTTGAGATTTTCTCAGATGGTACTCCTTTGGGTTGGGGAATTGTGCCAGAGGACTTTGGAGTCCTAGGGAAGCTCAGTTTCATATTAATGCACTAGAATTAACTGCGGCCTCATTTGGTCTCTAATGCTTCGCCTCGTATTTGACTAACTGCGAGACACTTTTGAGGATTGATAACACAACTGCTATTTTGTATGAAAATAGAATAGGGTGAGTAAAATTTCCTGTTTTAAACGAAATTTCGAGGTGCCTTGGGGTTGGTGTGAAGAAAGGAGGTTATGGGTTAAAGCATCTTACATTCGATCTTCCGATAATTTTGAAGCGGATAAGGAACCCACGAATTTGAATTTTGATGGTGAATGGTACCTTTCGGACAATGCTTTTGCTAAAATAACAAGCAAATTTGGATTCCCATAAATCGAATTGTTTGCTTCTCGCCTAAGTAAGAAATGCCGAAAGTTTATTTCCTAATTGCCAGATCCGGAGGCATCTAATGAAGACGCGTTTACTGTTTTTTGGAGCGACAGTTTCTTCTATGTTTTCCCCCCGTTTTGCTTGTTGCCACTTGTTTTACGAAAAATCAAGGCTTATTGAGCTACAGGGATCGCAGTAATCCCTTACGGGCACAGCCAGCAATGGTTTGCTTTTTTTTCATGGGAGGCGTTGTAGTTATTTATTGTTTCTAATTCCAGACAAATTACCTTCTCCTTTTGACAGGAGAGGTCATCCTGGCTGCAGGGATTTTGTCAGGCAAGCATTCCAGAAGATTTGCTGGATATTTTTCTATCATCTGTTCAGAGCGCTACCTTGAGGCATTTAATACCTGCATGCATTTAAACTTTGGTGGAGCTTCTACGAAAGGAGGGGAGTGGAGTGTTATTACTTCTCACCTAGGCTGTATTAGATTTCCTTACTATTCATTTTAGGCAAGGCAAGTCCTATGGCTCATTGAGTTCTTTCAGTGCAGCACGGCCTTATTTTTGGATCAGATTTATTTAACAATGCAAATCTAACTAGGTTTTTTAAGGTGTTTATAATCTAAGGCCAAGTAAACCAAGATATAACAGCACTTGGGGCCCTAGTTATGTCCCTGACTTTGTAAAAGGGTTACGTTCTAATGACTTGTCATTAAAGCAATTAAATTAGTTTCTCCTACTGAAGTTAACGATTGTACATAGAGTCCCAACGCTCTCTCTTATAGAATTGGTCAACATAAAATCATTTCCAGATGGATTAGAAATTAGAATAACGAATCAAATTAAGATTTCAGCTATAAATAAGACTCGACCTGTTTTTTAATTTTGCATAAATATGAAGATGTAAATCTTTGTGTGGTTTCAAATATATTATTGAGAGGGCCAGTGCTTTAAGAGGCAGCGAATCTCGTTTACTCATTACATTTAAAAAGCCTTGTAGGGCAGCAACTATACCCAACAAAAGTAGATGAATAAAGATAACTTTAGAAGATAGTGGTGTCTACACTTTTATTTTTACTGTTCACAGAACTCGACATGCCTCAACATCGTCTGCGTTTTGTAAAGGTGTTTCAATTGATATGATTGGAAAAACGGCAGATTGGTGAGAATACTCTAAATGTTTTCCCCTTTTTTATAATAGACCTATTTGTACAGCAAGTGCAGGCCTTTTTGTTAATGCCACATTTGGGACATAGAATTTTTCAGGAGGTTTGTTTTCTCGGATAGCCATTTATTTTGTATTTGTACTCGAGGCTTTCATAAACTTCCTGGATTTCCTTATATAGCCGAATAAAATCGTTTTATAACAAATTTGCTGAGTTGCCTTTGAAAGTCTACGTATATTGATTTCATAGAAGAGGTGTAACATATAATTCAATGATCAAACGAACTTACCTGGTAAGTGAAGTTCGATCGTAATTATATGTTACACCTCTTCGTAGAAATCACCCATTCCCGCCCAATTTACTGTTCTGAACAGTACTAAAATGCCCTTTGGCAAATTTATTATAAACGGGCTTTAAAATAGAATGAGGTTAAGACCATAGATGGCGAATATACCGTCCATGGTAAGTTATTCCACAGTTTTTTGGCTCTGCTTTAAAGCTGTGGTGCCACCTAGCGACTAGAAGGGGGACTACGTATATTGATTTCTACGAAGAGGTGTAACATATAATTACGATCGAACTTCACTTACCAGGTAAGTTCGTTTGATCATTGAAAAACTTCTGGATTCGTCCTACGTCGGTTTTTGCTGAGTCGAACCTCTTGGCTTCTTCAGAGCTTGACTGAAACTGGCTCGCATTTTACTCTGTATCTGCTTATACAGGGTGTTAAAAAAGTAGGCTGCCAAACTTCAAGAAACGATGCGTGATTTTAATATGAAATATTCATATAAAGATAGATCCAAAAATGCATATTTTTCAAGATACAGTGTGTTAAAATTTTCTGAAAAAACTGTTTTTCCTTTCATAACTTTTATATCACTTTCGATATTTCTATCAAATTTGGTGATACGTCTTTTAATTATCGAGAGGCGATTTTTGACATAAAAGCTTTATTTTTATTTTTACCGGTGGTCTCCCTACGGGGTTGGAACCGATTATTTTTAAAGAAAAAATGGCACGCCACTGCTTTTTATAAAGACAAAAATTATTTTTAAAATTCCCATTCAATTTATAGCAAATTTAGTGCATGAAATTTTGCAAAATGCAATTTTGCGATGTTAATTTTTATGTAAAGTTCGCTCTATTTGAAAGTTGACACGTGTAATGCTATGCCTAGTGTCTATAAAAAGAAATAACTATAATTTGTAATAACATAGTGATTCTTTTTTCATGTCATGTCTTTTTTCTCTCTGGCACTTGTTTTGCGACGACCTTATGATTTCCAATTAGCACTCACGTGGTATTTTTGAGCTTTTTTTTATTTATTAAAACTTGCTAACACATCATCATTTTTAAATTTAATTTTTTTTAATTAAACTAACGATTTAATAGGAAAATGTAAGAAACAAACTGCAATTTAATCATCTACAATTTAACAGTCAAAAGAACGTAAAGTGGCAAAGTGGGCTTTGCTAAGCGACAACAATTCATTTGTTTATAACAATAACATGACAGCGTTAATATTCACTTCAGACTTGGTGAAACGGGTAGTTTTAAGAGGTCTACTGCTCCTATAGGGAGACCAAGAACAGCAAGAACGGTTCACATAGAGGAAGCTGTCATAAATGCTATTAAAGAAAACAACACAACAAATTTAAAGATCAACAACTTTACTCTTATCATACGCAAGGAGTTCAAGCCCTTATTTTCCGCTAAGAGTGGCTTCGTGTAGATTTACACAAAATAAGTTAGTGCACAATCCATGGTTTTTATCACAAGTGTTGTTTACCGATGAGGCATGTTTTCCGCGTTACTCAATAATAAAAATCCATGACAATCATGCGTGGCCCGATAATAATCCTCACGCCGTAATTGAAAACCATTTTCAAGAGCAATTTTCCGTAAATGTTTGGATTGAACTTATAGGGGATATGGCCTGTTCATAGATATAAGAAAGTGACCAATTGCTTTTGAGTGGGATTATCCCAGGGTGGTCAATAACATACAATGCGACAAGATTATTACCTAAAGTTCCGGAATTTAAATTCAGGTAAAATTGTGGCCCGTAATAGAAAATAATTTTATACCCACCCGTGTTTATTATTCTTTGGTTTGGTATACTACTTAGTTTAAGTTTATTATTTCGTGTGTAATACAGCGTGTGTTGAATCGTGTGCGAATTGTGCAAAATATGTGCGAGTCTAGTGTATCTCACTAGATGCTCCCGCCCAAATGTAGAAAACACTATTCTATTGAGACTAAGGAAGTTATAAACAATGTTTATTTGACTCTCATTGAACGTGGTGCCAGCAAGCAAGCATCTTTAGAAGAAACTGCCACATTGACGAAAATTCCAACATCAATTGTATGGAAAATTGTGAATAATCCCATTTCAGCGAGGAAAAAAAGAAGCGATGCTGACATTTTCTCGAGTGTAGTAAAAGTAATCAGGATATAATACGACGTAAAATTTACGAGTTATACGAGGAACAAAGCGTGCCTACATTAGATATATTAATTAGGAGGCTTGAAAAAAATGGAACCGGTGTTAAATGTGGCAGAACTATAAGGTTGTTCGGAAAGTCATTTCGTTTTTTCCCGTCAGAGGACTTAATTACGTTTTTTCGAAACCAACTTCACACTTAAGCCGCATAACCATTATATGCCTTGAGAGCTGATATTGCAAGGCTTGTGTGTGAAAAAGTTCTATTAATTCTACGCAGTAGTTTTTGGTTGGTGCCCTTTTAAATATGGAGAGCAATAAGCAGCATTTTCGTCATATTTTATTTTTTACTTCAGAAAAGGTAAAAATGCTGTCCAAACGAGAAAAAAATTGACGGATGTGTATGGAGAAGGCGTGTTAACAGTACGCCAGTGCCAGAACTGGTTTGCAAAATTTCGATCCGGCAATTTTGATGTCGAAGATGCACCAGGGTCTGGAAGGCCGGTCGAAGCTGACAAAGATGCGATAAAGGCATTAGTTGATGCATATCGGCGAATAACCACACGAGAGATCGGTGAGAGATTAAATTTGTCGAATTCGACTGTTTATGGCCATTTGAAAGGCATGGGCTTAACCTCGAAGCTCGATGTGTGGGTGCCCCATGTCCTTACGGAGCGAAATTTGTGTCGTCGCGTTGACGTGTGTGATTCGCTCCTCAAACGTCAAGAAAATGATCCATTTTTGAAGCGGATTATTACTGGGGACGAAAAATGGGTTGTATACAACAATGTTAAACGCAAGAGGTCATGGAGCAGAAAAGATGAACCGGCTCAAAGCGTGTCAAAAGCCAACATTCACCAAAAAAAGGTGATGCTCTCCGTTTGGTGGGATGTCAAAGGAATCGTTTTTTTTGAGCTTTTGCCGGACAATACAACGATTAATTCAGAAGTCTATTGTCATCAACTGGACAAATTGAATGATTCACTTAAAGAGAAGAGGCCCGAATTAACCAACAGGAAGGGTGTAGTGTTCCACCAGGATAATGCGAGACCTCACACAAGTTTGGTCACTCGCCAAAAACTTTTACAGCTTGAATGGGATGTACTGCAACAACCACCATATTCTCCAGATCTGGCGCCTTCCGACTACTATTTGTTCCGGTCCCTGCAAAATTTTTTGGATGGCAAAACCTTTACCTCAAATGAAGATGTCAAAAACCACCTGAACCAGTTTTTTGCCAGCAAGGACCAAAACTTTTATGAGAGGGGAATTATGTTACTGCCAGAAAGATGGCAAAAGGTGTTGGACCAGAACGGCCAATATATAATTTAATAAAATATTTATTCATTATACGAAAACTGTCTTTCATGTTCCCCAAAAAAAACGAAATGACTTTCCGAACAACCCAATACCTTATGGAAGTGTATTCAACACATGGGTTTTAGATTTAAAAAAAATGACAAAAGGCAAGTTTTAATGCAATCTTTTAGGATCCGGAAATGGAGACTGGAATATCCAGAAAAAATTAGGATTTACAGAGAACAACAAAGGCAAATTATTTACTTGGATGAAACCTGGTTCGACATTTATGATACCCCAGAAAAGGGTTGGGTTGACTCAACTGATAAGTGTAGAACAAACGCGCCATCAAAAAGAGGTAAAAGAATAACTATTTTGCATGCCGGCTCTAAAGATGTTTGGATTCCAAATGGACCTCCTCTGTCTGTGCACAATATTAAAGATTCTTCTCTGGATCACCATGAAGACACCACCGCTGATTTATTTGAAAGTTGGTTTAAAAACAAACTAGTTCCAAACATTCCTCCTAATAGTCTCATTGTAATGGACAATCCAAGTTATCATAGTAGACAGTTGACTAAAACCCCTTCGTCATGTGACACAAAAGCAACAATCCAAAACTTTTCACGAAAATTATAGCAAAAAGCAATTAATTGAGGTTCTACAAAGTTTGAACCTACAAAAGGAATACGTCTGTGTTAATTATGCAAAAAATCTAGGGCATACACTTTACCACTGTATATTTAATCCCATTTAACCTGTTTGGCACCAACTGAAATCTGACATTCGTCGTAACAATGTTTTTCCTC